AAACCCAGCTTATTATATGCAAAGATGGCTGCCCTGATGCCGTGCTGAAGGCCAGATTCCAGGCGTTACATCCAACCCCCTCCGCCATACACGGGTGGCCTTATACCCCTGATCTTTTCATATTGAATTCCATGGCATTGCGTACGACATCTCCTTTGTTCTTATTCTCTCATAATGGCTGATCCAGACGTATACACCGTTGGTTGGATATGCGCCCTGGTTGTCGAGCTCGTTGCTGCGAAAGCCTTCCTCGACAAAGTCCATGACGACCCGGAACGACTCAGCCCGAATGATACCAACACATATTCTCTCGGTGAAATCGGTGGGCACAATATTGTGATTGCCGCTCTGCCAACCGGCGATCTAAGGCCGAGCGCTGCAGCGGTCGTGGCCATGCAGATGCAAAACAGCTTTCCCAACATCCAGTTCTGCCTCAGTGTCGGCACAGCCGGCGGCGCACCGAGCCCGAAGAACGACATCCGGCTCGGCGACGTTATCGTCAGCTGTCCCCGGGGCACCCAAGGTGGCGTTTTCCAGTACGACTCCGGCCGCAGGATCCAAGATGAGCGTTTCGAGTTCAGAGGCCACTTGAACAAGCCGCCGTGCCTGTTGCAAACAGTGATAGGGAACCTCGAGGCCAGATACCAGCAGCACGGGCACAATCTCGACAAGGCGGCGGCGGCGGCGGCGCAGCGCCTGGCGAGAGGGGCCCACTATCGTCAACCGCCGAAGACGACAGACAGGCTCTTCCTGTCGACGTGCACGCACCCTTCGCGGTCGAATCAGTCGTGCAGCCAGGTTTGCGACACGCATGCTGGGGTGCTGCAGCGGCGCGATCGCGACCAGGCGGACGGCAGATTCATGGTGCACTATGGGCTCGTGGCATCGGGCAGCCGGCTCGTCAGGGATGCTGCGTTCCGGGACAATCTCGTTGGGACGCACGACGTCCTCTGCTTTGAGATGCAAGCGGCTGGCCTCATGAACGCTCTTCCGTGCCTCGTCGTCCGGGGTATCAGCAACTACTCGGACACGCACAAGAACGACGAGTGGCAGGGCTTCGCGGCCATGATGGCAGCCGCCTACGCGGCAGACCTGCTCCGCGAGGTGCCGTCCATCGCTCATAGGAGGGAGGTGGATCGTGTTTGGGTTCTAGACTCGGGTAAGTGGTTATGAATGGCACGGGTCTCTCAGAGATAACCGCAAGAGTCTAACGTTCGTACGAACATGGTCGAGCAGACGGCGTTATGACCCCTCATGATCCCAGCCTGCAGCAATTGCATTCGTCTCTGGAAGCCATAGCGCGGCTGACCGGAAGAAAAGAAATTGAACAGAAGAACCATGATCCTCTCTTGGCCACGTCTTCGGCGCTTCGCGTTGTTGAAATGAAGACGCGCACGTTGTCGTCGTCTTCTCGGTAACCTCTCAAAGAACGGGAAGTCACTACGGGCCACATATTCCAGTAGACCTAGGCGTAGTTCACTCAGCTGCCCCTGGCGGATGTGCAGACGGTAGGGACTCAAGGAACACTAAGCAAGTCGGTGGTGTCTGCTCACGGAGACTTGGTGGGCCAGCATCCTTGGCAGTAAAACTGAACGACCCTTGCCCGATCTACCTTAAGTGGCGCATGCAGGATCTGGGGCGCTTGTGTATGACAAAAGTATAGTGGTCTTGCAACGTGAGCGTTGAGGACGATACTACCGGTAACGGGTTGTTCGCATGATCCCGAGGGACCGGGAGGTGGGTGCGGCGTAACGACTGGTCCGAACTTTGGGGGAGTCGGGTACCATGTAAACGTGCAGCAGGTGGGGCCGTGGCCGTGTAAGCCGTTTTGATGAGACAAAAGAGTTGCGATTGTGTTGCTTTTTACGACGATATTTACGAAGGGGTGGTGGGGTGGAATGTGACGCAACATCGGAGGCGGGAGAATGGGTTTTGCCCGGTGACCCATGTGTTTCGTCGAACATGTCATGGAACCTGTCAATACGCGTTTGCCTTGACCGCCAGCAGGCAGCAGGCAGCTATAGGGGGGGGGGGGGCGGTCACTCATCTGGCGTCTGTCCAGGCAGGCAAATCGAGGAGGTCCTGCCGTGTCTGGGCTGTTGGATAAGGTGCTGCCTGTTGGATCAGGTAGCTTGGGTAGGTACCTGGGCCACTCCAGGCAGGCACAGGGCTGGCGATGCCCGCAATGTCACCGAGAACTGGAATGCAGTGAAAAACAAGGGGAAAGGGCAACACTAGCTGTATCGATCGTACCTGCACGCGACAACAAGTACGACGGCGACAGGCCGTCTTACAGGCCGTCTTAGGCCGTCTTACAGTGCTTCCTTCCCTGCTGACGACGGAAGCCACAAGGTGTCCAGTGCTGTCGTGACATTTCCCACTGTGGGGTCATCCCGAGAGCGAGCAAATGCTGGCAACCTGATTGGCTAGGCGTATGCAGCCGTCGTACTTTTGGTAGCGTGCGTGTTCGCATCGGGCAAGCGCGACTCTCGTACTTCTCGCTTTCGAGGTTACGACAACGGCGCGGCATTCATTGGAAACCCCCATCCGCTATTGTTCCTTCCGCCGCCGCCCCTCCTGGGCTCGGCCTCGAGTGTGGTGCGGTCAGCCGCTTTGATGAAGCGAAATCGTCGCGAGATGAATCATGCTAGATAGATGCACTCTCCGTCATCATTCGCCTCATCTCCCTCAACTCCCTCATCTTCTTTTTTCGAAATGTTGAAATACACCCTGCGTGCCTCGACTTTTGACCATGTGTACTTCAGCTATCTGATCTGATCTACTCCCTCTCTATTACCCTCGCAAGGCGTCTTGAGGGCGAACAGACCCTGGCCTGCCCTCCATTGACGGACAGACCCTCATCGCCACCCGCCTCATCCCTACCTACACCCCGGATCCCTCACTGCGGCGCTCCTTTCTCGTCTCGCTCTTCTTGCCCGTCTCGCCAACCGCCATGGCCGACGTCAAGGCGCAAGCTCCCCTCGTCGAGGCCGGCCGCGAGGCCAGCGTCCCTTCCGTCACGGACGCTGGCCCTTCCGTCACGGACGAAAAGCCCAAGGACACCAAGCTTCGCCCTGAACGCGAACCGACCTTTCAAAGACTACATTCGAGTCTTTTCCTATGCCACGAAATGGGACATCGTCATCTACGTCTTCGCCGCCGTCTCCTCCATCGGCTCCGGAACCACCCTTCCCCTGATGAATGTCATCTTTGGCCAGCTCGTCAGCCAATTCACCGGCTACTTCTCCGTGCCCCCCACCACCAGCAGGTCTGAATTTGAGGCTCTGCTCGACAAGCAGGCCCTCTACATCATGGCCCTCTTCATCGGCCGCCTGACCCTGACCTACATCAACAAGTTTTGCTTCCGCATGATCGGCATCCGCCTCTCCTCCGCCATCCGACTGCACTACATCGAGAGCCTCTTTGGCCAGTCCATCCACGTCCTCGACTCCATGCCCCCTGGCGCCGCCGCCGGCACCATCACCACCACCGCCAATGTCCTGCAGCTAGGCCTCTCCGAGAAGCTCGGCACCTTCATGGAGTACAACGGAACCATCTTCACCGCCATCATTGTCGCTTTCACCTGGAGCTGGGAGCTAACCCTCGTCACCTCCTCCGTCCTCTTGTTCCTCATCTTCGTCCTCGGCGTCATCCTGCCCTTCCTCATCAAGGGCCAGTCCGCCATCACCAAGTCCGAGGCCAGGGCCACCGCCGTCGCCAGCGAGGCCTTTAGCTCCATCCGCATGCTGTCCGCCTGTGGCGCCGAGGAGCGCATCACCTCCCGCTACGATCGCTGGGTCGACGACGCACGCCGCAAGGGCCAGGCCACGGCCCCTCTGTTTGCGACCCAGCTCGGCCTCATCTTCTTCGGCATCATGGGCGCCTTTGGTCTGGCCTTTTGGCACGGCACGACCATGCGCCTGAACGGATCCATCGACGATGCTGGTGTCATCATCATTGTCATCATGTCCGTCATCATGGTCGTCATCTCCCTCGAGCGCATCGCCACGCCTCTCGTCGCCGTCACCAAGGCCATGGTGGCCGCCTGCGAGTTCTTTCACCGTCATCGACGCGCCCAAGCCCCCTACCGGCACTTTGAAGGAGCCCGATGTCTCCGCCGACCAGGACATCGTCTTTGACGATGTCACTTTTGCCTATCCGAGCCGCCCGCACGTCAAGGTCCTCGACGGTCTGAACCTGCGCATCGAGAAGGGTCTCAACACGGCCATCGTTGGTCCTTCGGGCTCTGGCAAGTCCACCATTGTGGGGCTCATCCAGCGATGGTACAGCTTGAACCACCAATACGTCATTGCCAAGACGGTCGAGAAGGACAAGAAGAAGGAAGCGCAGAAGAAGAAGAACCTCAAGAAGGGCATCACGGACTCGGACGAGGAGGAGCCCGTAACCACCCCTGAGGAGACCGGCCCTGCCATCGAACTGTCTGGATCCGTCACAACCTGCGGACGCTCTCTGGACGACATCGAGCTCAAGTGGTGGCGATGCGAGATCGGCCTCGTGCAGCAAGAGCCCTTCTTGTTCAACGACACCATCTTCAAGAACGTTGCCAATGGCCTTATCGGCACCCCGTGGGAGCACGAGTCGGAGGACACGAAGAGGCAGCTCGTCAAGGAAGCTTGCGAGGAGTCATTCGCGAATGAGTTCATTGACCGACTACCTGAAGTAAGTTTTGCTGTCTTAGATCGTCTTCCTGTGAACAAGCCTAACACAGGTCCTGCAGGGGTACGACACGCAAGTCGGCGACAGCGGACCAAGCTGTCGGGTGGTCAGCGCCAGCGTATTGCTATCGCCAGGAGCATTGTCCGAAAGCCGAAAATCGTCATTCTTGACGAGGCCACGAGTGCCATCGACGTACGGGGAGAAAAGATTGTCCAGGCAGCGCTAGACAGGGTTGCCCGCAACAGAACCACCATCACCATTGCCCATCGCCTGTCCACAATCAAGAAGGCCGACAAGATCATCGTCCTGAAGAAGGGCCAGGTTATGGAGCAGGGCACTCATCACAGCCTTCTTGAGGACGAGAACGGTCTATACTACGGACTTGTGCATGCTCAGCAACTCTCCCTCGGTGAGCCTACCGAGGCCAACACGGACGACAGCGAAGAGGACCTCAATACCATTCTTCAGAGAGAAAAGAGCGCGGCGTACTCCGAAGCGGAACAAGTCAACGACAAATCAAACGACAAGCCACCCAACCTCTTCAGCAGCTATGGAAAGCTTATAGTCGAACAACGCGCGCGATGGCCTTTTTACATCATTATCATCCTGGCCGCCATGGGCGGCGCCTCCTCCACTCCATTGCAGGCTTGGTTGCTGGCCCAAGTCCTGAATGTCTTCACAATTCAAGATCCTGGAGAGATCCGAAGCGAAGGCAACTTCTGGTCGCTGATGTGGGCTGTTCTAGCCATTGGCGTCGGTATCAGCTACTTCTCCGTCATCTACTCCGCCGTTTTCCTGCAGTACCGCATCAGTGCTGTTTACAAACGCCAATATTTCGGGGCTATCCTGTTTCAACGGACGTCCTTCTTTGACCAAGAGGAGAATTCGCAGGGATCACTGACAGCCAGGGTCTCCGGCGACCCCAAACAGCTTGAAGAGCTGCTTGGCATCAACATTGCTTTCCTTCTCATGGGCATGCTCCAGGTTATTGGTGCCCTGTCAATCGCTTTTGCCTTCGGCTGGAAGTTGGCCCTCGTGGCCACATTCGTGACCATGCCCATCGGCCTGTTCTCGGCCTACTGGAGATTCAAGTATGAAATGCAGTTTGATCAGATGAACGGCGCCGTGTTTGCGGAGAGTGCCAAGTTTGCAGCTGAGGCCATCGGCGCTTTCCGCACCGTTTCGGCCCTGACACTGGAGGATACCATCAACAGACGCTACGGAACCCTTCTCAACGATCTGAGAAGCAATGCTCTGAAGAAGGCGTGGCTGGCCTCGTTTATTGTGGCCTTTGCTGAAAGCTCCGGGCTCGGCTGCCAAGGTCTCATCTTCTGGTACGGCGGACGACTCTTGGCCAGTCGGGAATACGACATGGTCGCCTTCTTTGTCTGCTTCATGGCAGCTATTCAGGGTGCCGAGGCGGCCGGACAGGCCCTCAGCTTCGGGCCTAACGCGGCTCAGGCCAGCGCTGCTGCGAGCCGCATCATCAAGATGCGCGACTCCCGAAACCTCGACGAGCATGCCGAGTCGGCGACCATTCCTGACACCGAAGGCGGTGTCAAGATTGAGCTGCGGGATGCTCACTTCAAGTATCCTACTCGCAACGTGTCCGTCTTCAAGGGTATCAACCTCACTGTCGAGAAGGGCCAGTTCGCCGCCTTGGTCGGAGCGTCTGGCTGCGGCAAGACCTCCATCGTGTCGCTGATGGAGCGCTTTTACGATCTGACCCAAGGCGACATCCTCTGCAACGGCAAGAGCATATACGATCTGAACATATACGAGTACCGCAAGGCCTTGTCGTTGGTTGCTCAGGAACCCAACATGTTCCAAGGCACCATCCGCGAAAACATTCTGCTCGGCATCGACGGGGACGTGCCAGACGAGCGACTCCACGCCATCTGCCGCGACGCATCCATCCACGACTTTATCGTGTCCCTGCCCGAGGGCTATAACACCGACATTGGCTCCAAGGGTGTATCTCTTTCTGGCGGCCAGAAGCAGCGCATCGCCATTGCGCGTGCGCTTGTCCGCGATCCCAAGATTTTGCTCCTCGATGAGGCGACCAGCTCGCTCGACTCCGAGTCGGAGAAGCTCGTGCAGGCGGCGTTTGAGCGCGCCAGCAAGGGCCGCACCATGCTCGTCGTCGCACACAGGTTGGCGACTGTCCAGAACGCCGACGTCATCTTCGTCATGGGCGAGGGTAAAGTGCTGGAGAAGGGCAACCACGTGGAGCTTTTGAAGAAGAAGGGCGTCTACTGGCACATGGTACGTCGTTCGCGACCCGCCCCGCATGCTTTGACCGTGATGAAGCTAACAGCACGCAACAGTGCCAGAGCCAGGCTCTCGATCGCTAAGGGTAAAAGAGAGCGACAGCGTGCAGACTGTTGGCGTTGCGGTGGACATTGGGGAGGCGTCACACGGTTCGAATAGATGGTTTTTTTTTGTTTGTAGTGGCAGGATACCCTCACCTTTGTTTTCCTTTACTGAGTTTCCACTGGATGAAACTATTTGCATCTCTCTTCGAACATTCACATCCACCCCATGTACATGATCCATCTCGTTCGTGTAGTATACCATGTAATTAGAATATACCGCCAATCTATCTACCCTCCCATGGACTGTACCATCCCAACCGCGAACTGACCAAGCGATACGGCAAGCAGCCGGTATAAAATGACGAGGAGCAAAAGAAGGTAGATATGAGATTGTCGTCAACTCCGCAGATCATCTTACGATTCTCGTCTGTCCGTGCAGATCGAACGCCTCACTTCCTCTCCGAGGACACATCTATACAAATACGCCGGATCGCTATGCATTACATGGCAAAAAAAATAAAAGGAAGAAATGGGTTTCGACAAGAATAAATCAAGCAGAAGCCTCAGGCGCCTTCATCCCCCAGAAGTGATCGAGCTCTGCGGCAATGTCGCCCGTGTGCGTCATGACAAAGTCGTGCGTCCCGCCGAGGACACGCCAGTGCACCGCGTCCGGTCCTCCGAGCAGCGGCAGGCCCTGGCGCTCATAGTCGACGCAGTCGATAATCTCGTCCCCTTGCGCCAGCAAGACGGCAGTACGACCCTTGCCCATGACCCGCCCGAGCTGGGCCCAGGTGGGGTGCTGATCGGTCAAGGGGGCGTGGCGGATGCAGCTCATAAAGGCGGGGACGAAGCCGGCGTGTGGGTGCCCATCACGCGAGTAGTCGTCGACCGGGCTCATGAGCATTCCCGAAGGCGGAAGCTGGATGATTCTTCTCGAAAGCCCGCACGTCGAGGATCTTTGCCCTCCCGAGCGCTGCTGACGGAGGTGGTTTGCGTTGGTGAAGCCGCGATGGGGCGCTGAAGCGGCGCTTCGTGGCAAAGCGAAGAAGCGCCCGGGGCACGAGGCCGGAGCGGAAGGTGAAGCCGGCCACAGTCCCGAAATCGGCGGCGGAGATGAGGCCGGCAGGGGCGAGGAGGATCAGGGACTCGACCATGTGAGGAAAAAGACGCCGCGAAGGAGGCGGCGAGTGCGCCGCCGAGGGAATAGCCGATGAGGCGGAAGCCGTGCTGGCCGGTCCACGGCAGAGGCGAGGAGGCGAGGGCTAGCAAGATATTGGTCGTGTACAAACGTTCATCGTGAGGCAGGTCGCCCACTCCATCAGTAAAGCCGCGACCAAAGAGGTCAAAGGCCATGACCCGGCAGCCGCGGGCAGCGAGGGCACGAGCAAGTGGTGCGAGGGTGATGCACGGAGTAGAGATGCCATGAACGAGGAGGACCTTGGGCCCTTCTAGGTTGCCAAACTCGTAGACCCGGACGGTACCGTACGGGGTAGCGACATCACGGCCGCCGGGGAGTGTGTCTGGGTTGTAAATATGGTCGTGGATGGCATGAGAAGCTTCCTTGGGCAGGGATGCGCGAAGAGGACTGGGGATGACACGCCTCCACTTGGGATAGAGAACATAACGACAAAAGTAGAAGGTGGCCAATGTAGCGATGACTGTGGTGGCTACGATGGACATGGTGTCGGCGCTGGGGCGGGCATCAAGAATGCGCGAGAGAGCATCCATGATGGGCGTCGGTGAGGAGCTGCTAGTTGAAGAGGAGGAGGACGAGAACAGAAGCGGTTCAGCTTCTGGGACCTGAGGTGCCGCAAGGGAGGCGGCGGGCTGAGAGGATCGTGACATGGCGCGCCGTATGTCGTGTCGGTGGCGGGTGTGATGGTGCCGGCTGGGAGTCGTATAAGGTCAGATGCTAGGCCCTGGTGATGCGGCGTTTGTATGCAACAGAGTGGTTCCTAAGACGAGGGGGTTGTGAACTAAGGTATGAGAGGTATATGGAGTGAAGAACTGAGTCGTGAGTTGTGGGAAAGAAAGACCAGAGCTTCAGCCCATCCGAAGGTGCCGTGCACCCACGGGCGGAAGGAGTGGTCGTGGGGCGTCCTGCTTCCTTAAGTGAGACGGGAACGTGCCTGCCCCGACTGGAAACTGGACACTGGACACTGGACGGGGGCAAGCAAGCACGATGCTGACTGCCGTCGATGCCCTTGGCGCCAGGCGCTGACGTGCCTTCCCCCGTTACTTTCTTGTCTTGTTCCAGGTGGTGACGTCGCCGCAACAGGGTTCCCGTTCAGGGCTGACTCTCTAGGCTTGGCTCCCCCACAAGCCCTGTGACCGCTGGCCCTCTCAGGCCTTTAACCCCTGTGGGCCATAGCGTCGATGCCCAAGTCGGTCCTTAGCTTCAGCTTGGAGACCCACGCACCCCCGGGCCTAATCCGGACCTCTGAATCCGTCCGCTTCGGGTCCATCGGCCACAACATGGAGATCCTTGTAGAACGGGCCCATTTCCACGTATATTCACGTATCCCTCTTCCGGGACCGAGTGTCGCTCAGCCTAAGCCAACCGCCCATGCAGCATCGCCCAGCTGCTTCATTACCAGACACATGTTCTCGATGATGGGCGGCCGCATCTCCTGGCTGCCCCTGAAGTTGGACCGCAGAGTCTCCTGCACGACTTCCATGCAGCCTTTGGGGTCCTCTACCGCCGCCTCGCGCGTCCCAGTCGATCGAATGGGTTCTTGGATCACCGGTTTGCCGTGTCCAAAGTGGACGAACTCTGTCACGACGCCTGATATCGTTCCGTCCAGGTAAACCGCCTCCTGACCCAACTGAGATGACGATGCCCCTGGCCTGCCTGCTGTCTTGGTGACGACGCCATACGTCCAGAGCGCCAGGGCTGCGTGATGGATCGCCACAGCGTAGAAGTCCTTGAGGTGCCCCAGTGGAAACAGCTTGGCCTGTCGCAGCACCTGTCCTGCTTGCCAAACAGCCTGTCTGCCGTGGACGCTGTCCGCCCATTCCCGGAGGTTCGCCAGCACCCGTCGCGCCTGTTCTTCGCCCTCCTTGCCGGAGAAGAGCTGCAAATCATTCAGGGACAGGTGTAAATTCATCAGCAAGAGGTGCAGCATGAGGTGCTCCTGGCATGAAAGCTCATGCCAGTCTGACACAATCGCCTGGAACTTATCCAGTCCTCTGCATAGTTCCTCGTGTCGGGTTCTCAATAATTGCTCGCTCGTCCCTCCTGTCCTCGTCAGCCACGGCCGGAATCGCTGCACCGAGGAGAGCCTTTGGTATTCATTAATCAGAGACCAGTAGCCGTTGAGAAAAATGGAAGCCGCCGCTTGCGCGTCTAAGCGACGACGGTTGGACGTGAGTAGGCCAGGGTCTCGTAACAGATCGCCGACTGATGGCGCCCGCTTTGTGTAGCCAGCGGCCAGCTCGTGGTGATGATGTTGCCAGTCCAAGGCCGTCTTGGCAAACCAGAGCTCTTTCGCTTCAGGCAGTGGCAGTGTCATCTCAGCATATGACATGCCTGGGCTGCCAAGCGTAGCCATGGAGGTCCTCGCATCCCGGATGAAGCAGTGAAAAGCAAGCCTGCCTTGGTGTCAGTCCACCGCCCTCAACCTTAAGTCCTGCTCCTGTTTTGAACATACCTCTTCCATGACTCGCGTTCGCACCATGACCGCCACTTCTGTTCAAGCAGCTCGCCGCCGTCGGATTCGTCAAGTTCAATCAGGGGATACATCGTACGCTGATATTTGTTGCGATATCGCATCATCTACCACGTGTCAGTATCTGAATAAAGACGCCCTGCAGTGAAAGGACTCACATTTGCAGGAATACCGATATGGCACTCGGCGATTTCCATCTTTCTTCGGTTCCCTGACCACAAGGCAACATCCTGTACGAGGGACAGAGATTGAACCAAGCCAACGTCCTTGATCGTAGTGTTGACTGATTCGAACTTTTCCGGAATCGTGACACGTACAGCCTCCTGCACAGCGAACCCCCATCTTCGAAGGGTTGGCACAGGTGTCAGCACTGCGCCAGAGGCCGCCGCCATGGCATGCCAGTCTGCAGGCATAGCCTTCATGTCGAAAGTTGCCTGATGAATCCACTGCGAGGTTTGGCAAAAGTGCGAAGCGAGGAAAATATGGATCAAGCTGTCCATGACTTCGGCTGAAGGGAACGAGGACGCTACGCGTGCCATCATCTCGCTGGTCTTACACGTCTTCAGGACAATAGCCAGCACCCCATCTCGTGCGGCTCCGTCCAGACGGTCAGTCACCACCGTCTCGCCCAAATTCTTGCGACTCTCGCGTAGGGCCCCTGTCACATCAGGGGAAGGCACGGGCAGATTAGACTGCTCTCCGTAGCCAGCATTGACACGCAACAGGCTCCATCGCCATGGCGATTCCGTCCATGCTTGCACGAGATTCTTGCGCATCTGTACAAGATCTATCGAGTCTTCGGGGCTCGGCGTAAAGGTCTGCGATTGCTGAAACCCGTCACCCAGCAAGTCAATGTTCCAGTAATCCAGTAAGCTGAAGTCAACATCAGTGAGATCAAGATTGTTGTGGGCACTCAGGTCCAGGACGGATAGGCCCTGAATTTGGCCTTGACCGTGACCTTCAGTGACTCGAGACCCGTCATATCCTGGTTCGTGGATTACATTTTGAAGGAACCCAGAAAATGCCTGCCCCGCAACATCAACGGCTTGGTTACCAGTCCAGACATGAGTATGTTGCGGCAACATGCCCGTATTTGCTTCTTCTGCGTTAACAACAGTCCCACGACGTTGTTTGTCATGCAACCTACTCTGTGGCGGAATGCTTTTGGGGGGATGAGGCTGGGTTGGCCCTGGATCCAGCACCGACAGCGTCGGCATAACTGAGTTGTCATCTGGTCCAGTAGCAGGATACGTTGAGATCTGTGGGACAGACAATTGACTGGATGACCGTGCAGCATCGCTCGCGCTTTGGGACGCTGATGACGCAGGAGAGGTCGTTTCTGAGCGAGGGTCGGCTGACAGGTGCAAGAGATACATGGCGGCAGCAGAGCCGGCCTCGGCTGCGGAATACTCGCACACCTGGTTCCTCGTGCGGCATCGGGTACAAGGCTTAGTCTCTTCGCATTTCACGCGAGCAGCCGCACAGCCACGGCAAGCATGCGAGACCCTGGCGGCGGCTGGTGAGGCCGTCGTCCGGCGTCGCTTCTTAGCCGGATCATCGTCGGTTTCGTGGTTCGTGACGTGGCGCTTCAAGAGGTCCTGGCGGGCGAAAGCCTTGCAGCAAACTTGACACACAAAGCGCTTGCCAAGAGTGTGCGTCTGGATGTGCCGAGCCAGATGTTCGGGCCGGGAATAGCGTTTCTGGCAATGAGCACATTGATACAGGCTGGGTGTCGCAGCATGGGTGGGGGCCGGAGCAAGCGCCACGATGGCATGGGCATTTGACTTTTCTGCGATGCCAACAGAACCGTACGCCTCAGCTGTATGAGCGCTGCTACCGCCTGTTGGCGCCTGGATAAACAGTTGGCGATCGGCAAGGGGTACTTGGCTCGAATTGACAGCAGGTTGGTGGGGATGAAGCAAATTCGAAAGAGACGAAGGTGCCATGGCCACTGCGACAGCGTCGGGCAAGCCAACTGCCGTGTGAACTGTACCGGAGCCGAGGAGGCCAAGATGATGCTATCGAACCCACGCGGACCCTTGTCCCACTAACTGTCGCTCTTGTGGTGGTAGGATTGGATAGTAGTGGATGGGGGATTCGGCTGTGTGGGAGGAAGGATGTGATCGGAGAGACAAAGGCACCTTGCTGCTTCCGATGTGGGAGGAATCCCGAACCCCTGTGGCGCTATTCGATTTGGTGGCTAATAAGGTCTACTTGCTCAACCCCACCAAAGGAATGGGGGCTGGCTGGCAACTACATTACGAACAGACGTCTTCTGACACATCAGCCCATCATAAAGGGTAGCCCGAGCAGAGATCGTTGCAATTGGGCAGTACTCTAGTCAAAGTGAGATTTAATGGTCAGAAGCACGTTCTATTCTCGGCTCAAAGCGACAAACCGCCGTCAATCACAGCGTTGGCCCCGGTGACGGTTTTACTCTGGATAAAGCACCACACCTGCTCTGCAACCTCCTCGACTGTCGGGACACGCTTCAATGGCGTTCGCTCCCTCGCAGCCTCTCGCTGTTCCTCTGGGAATTGGAGACCCCAGTCCTGCCGCAAGTCAGTTCATGAAGTACGTGAACAAAGAAAGAAAAACGGACCGTCCACATGATACCGGGCGAGACTGTGTTGACTCGGATCTTGGGAGCTGCCGCCATCGCAAGCCCCTTGGCGAGATGGATCTGAGCTGCTTTGCTGACTGCATAGGCCTGGACACTTGATGTGAGCTTGCCGTGTTCACCAGCATACTTGCTAGGGCGTGATTTACCAGCGAGCTTCCGCTGACCTTGACACCGGCCAAAGAAGCCGTCGTAATGAAACAGCCCTCGGCCTCTTCGAGGTACGGCTTAGCAGCACCCATCAACCACAGATGGCTCTTGACGTTCATGTTGAAGCATCTGTCCCAGTCGTCCTCCACCAGGTTGTCATCCAAGTTGCGAATATCGCGGATCTGTGTCCATCCGCCATTTGAAAACACCACATCTAGACGCCGGTTTGTTGCAGGTGGCACGCCCTGAACGGAGAAGTCTGACGCAGCTTGCACGAGAGATTTGATTTCATCTCGAGATTCTAGGTTGGCTTGTACTGAAAGAAAGTTATGGGCATCGTATGGAAGTGGCGAGAGGGTGTGCAGCTCTGTTTCCAGGGCATCCGCGCGTGCTTTATTGGAGTAATAGTTGATGACGACTCGGTACCCCTTCCGTGCCAACAGTTTGGCGGCGGCAGCGCCCAGTCCGGCACTGCCAGCCGTTATGAGAGCGACAGGAAGATGGTTTTGGGGTTCCGACATGGTGATTTCTCGAATGATCTGTTGAGTATGGGTTCACAGGATTTGGCTGAAACTGTACTCGTCAAGTTGGAAAGATCATACGAGCTTTGCCTTTTTCAGGTACGAGTCCAGAAAACCAGCGAGGCGATTGTAGAGACCAGCCAAGATGACCCTGGGCCTTCACCAGGACATGAAGATAGCTATAAGTTGAATGGCCTCCAAGAGCTGTCGCCGGCCCCTCCAATCCCCCCTCGGCCCCGCTGACGATGCGCATAAACAGGCTGGGGCCGAGTCCCGAGACGAAGCCCAGTACGGCAGACCACAGGACGATTCGGCAAGCATCAGTAGCCTCGCAGTCGGCCACCGTAGCACTCATGTTTCGACCCAATTGAGCACAGGCATTTCACGGCACGAGCCACAGCTGCCACATTTGGCGGGGGGTCGTGCAGCGATGGTAGCCTTGCAGGTCCAACGTCGCTCCCCGCCAGCTACCATCACACTTTCTCAACACCGCGTCAATTCCCACGAAGCCAGTCGTTTTTTTGCCCCCACACCCCTCACTCCCATCCTCCACTCTCTTTCCCTTCGCCGGCCTTTACCCCCCGGCGCACTTCTCCCCTTCAGGCCGGTTCATGAAGACCTCACTTCAACGATTTTCCAGGTCTTTTTCTCGACCACCTTCACCTCTGACTCATCCCTCGCGATTTGCGCTTGCGATCCAGGCTGCCCCTCCACGATCGAATACCCCGCGATACCGCGACAATCCACGTCATCGAGCACTGCACACCACGAACCCTGTCCTCCGACCCAGAGACGAATCGTCCAACATGCCGCCCAAGATAAAGTTCGAGCTAAAGACCCCGAAGGGCACCAAGGATTGTGAGCATGGAAACACCACCACGGCCCTGGCCAAGGTCTGACTGAAGCAGGGTTCGGCCCCGACATGATCATTCGGGAGCAGATCTTTTCCGTCATGAGGAGTGTCTTCCAGCGCCATGGAGCCATGGAGCTGGACACGCCCACCTTCGAGCTGACCCCGATCTTGACTGGCAAATACGGCGAGGATAGCAAGTTGATCTACCAGCTGGCTGATCAGGGCGGAGGTACGCCGCGGCCATACTGTCTCTGAGAGGCCCATGCTGACTCTGTTCCTCCAGAGGACTCATCTCTCGTCTACGACTGCACAGTGCCCATGGCGCGCTGGCTCGCGCAGAATGCCATTGAGTAAGAGAGGTCACCCAGTCCCGAGCGCAAGCAGCCCTGGGACAAATATTCTCGACGTCCACAACATGCTGATTCGTACAGGAACGTCAAGCGATACACCATCAAGAAGGTCTACCGCCGCGACCAGCCCGCCATGAACAAGGGCCGCCAGCGCGAGTTCTACCAGGCCGACATCGACTTTGCCGGCGCCAACTACGACCCCATGCTCCCCGACGCCGAGATCATCCGAATCACCACCGAAGTCTTCTCTGCCCTTGGCTGGGCCGACACCTACACCATCAACATTAACCACCGTAAGATCCTCGACGGCATGTTCCAGGTCTGCGGCGTCCCCGACGAGAAGATCCGCGCGATATCCTCCGCCGTCGACAAGCTCGACAAGGCCCCCTGGGCCGACGTGAAGAAGGAGATGACTGCTGAGAAGGGCCTTGACGAGGAAGTCGCCGACAAGATTGGCGAGTGGGTTATCCTTGAGGGCAAGCAGGATGTCATTGAGAAGCTGCGCGCAGACGAGAAGATGGCCGCCAACGAGCTCATTCAGCAGGGTCTCTCCGATATGGAAATTCTCTTCGAGTACCTCGAGGTGTTTGGCTGCCTGGATCGCGTCTCTTTCTCGCTCTCTTTAGCTCGTGGGCTGGATTACTACACTGGTATCATCTACGAGGTCCGTGTGCCGGAATCCGCCCCGCCCGTTGCGCCTGCGGACGGTGAGGGTGGCGCGAAGAAGAAGAAGAGCAAGAGCAAGAACACCGAGGACGCGTCTGAGAGCGTCGGTGTCGGCAGTGTGGCGGCCGGTGGCAGGTGAGCGGCATCAAAGCCTTCCGGTTTGACCTCAGACTGATTGATGGCACAGATATGACAATCTTGTCGGCATGTTCTCCGGCAAGAAGCAAGTCCCTTGTGTCGGTATCTCGTTCGGCATTGAGCGTATTTTCAGGTTTGTCTCTCATTCTAAGATCAACGAGGCGGTTGTCTAACAAAGGCACAGCTTGATGAAAGCCAGGATGGCGGCAGAGAACGAGGCTGCCCCCAGCACTGTTGATGTCTATGTCATGGCGCTTGGGTCCAAGGCCGGCCTGGTCAAGGAGCGTCTTCGTGTCAGTGCCCAGCTCTGGGATGCTGGCGTCAAGGTATGACTGGTTCACTCGTATTTTTAAGGCCTTTCACTAACTCCGGAACAGACCGAATTCCTGTACAAGGTAAAGCCTAAGTTGCCACCGCAATTCAAGGCGGCCGAGTCTAACCAGGCGCCCTTTGCGGTCATTCTGGGTGACGACGAGATCGAGAAGGGTGTTGTCAAGATCAAGGAGCTCGGCCTGCCCGAGGGCCACCCCCACCAAGGATGGTGAACTGGTGGACATGAAGAACTTGGGTTCCCGAGGTGCAGAAGCGCCTGGCACGGAAGCGCGAGCTCGATGAGATTTCCCGCAAGGCCGGAGGTCTCAAGGTTGTTGGTGGTCTGCGTGGAGAGGATATTGACAAGGCGGAAGCCAAGAAGGAGGAGCCCGCGGCCGAAGCTGCTGCTCCCGCGGCTGCTGCTGCTACCGAGGAAGTGAAGCCCGTGGAGACGCAGTAGCTTTTGTGCGGCAAAGCAATATGATTAAAAAACCAAGAATTCCACCTCTGTGTCTGAGCCTGGCCGATCTGCAGTGACCAGCTCACAAAGCTATATGATGTGGTTAACCGGATCAGTTGTCTCGGGTTCCGCTTCGCTTGATCAAGCAAGACAGAAGGCAACCAACTGGTTAGGTTTCAAATCTCCTGAAGGCGCCGATGTGTTCCAGATGAGGTTTCTTCCAAAGGCTTGGATAGTTTGGGCCACTAACTAGCCACTCGGATACTCGATAACAGCCGATAGAAAAGCACAATGCAAACATGACGCAGCAACGTCCGCCTCGATGATACCAAAGACATCCCAATCTCTCATTGATATCAATTTCTAGTCGCGAACGCAACTATACACGTTCATTCGGTGGGGCTACATGTCCTTCCTGTGTTACAGGGATCCTGCCCGCTATAGACCGGGGAATTCGAGGCTGCACTGCTTCGCCGCGATCATCGACCCCTCCGGCGAGCTCGGTAACGTAGATCTCTGATCATACCCGGCAACTAGCGAGCCAGGTTCTATCATCGGTCCCATTACAAATTTGGGCCACGAACATATTTGCAAGACATGATATTACCTTGATGAGAGTTTGGCACCTTAGAAGTCAGGGAAGCTCGCATGTTCAAACCTGCAAGGCTCGCGCAATCTGTGTTGGTGACAAATACATGTCGGTGATTTTCGCGCCTTCGTTTGACCCCCTTGTATACAGCTCGCCTCCTGCGGACTTATTAGAACCGCAGGCATACTGTGAATCAACACATCAACTCTTCGCAATGGACATCATAGAGTTCTTCGAGGGACCCGGCAATACATCATGTTGTCGTTGGAGCACTTAAGACGGCAGAGGGCCGTGCGCAAGCGAATCTTTGGGCATGAGAGACGTGTTTCGATCCACGAGTGCGCTGAGATACCGCAAAATGAATTGACTTTCCCCATTGACGTATCATCCTCCGTAGACGAAATACAAGGAAACCTATGTGCTCCTGACCTCGCCATGAACGTTGAATCGGCGACCGGACCGGTGCACGCTCCGGGTGCGGGCTCCGGGTGCGGGACCTGGTCGATACGCACCATTTTGTCCAGAGAACCCACGAGAACCCGAAATGTTCACCACCAAGAAAGTCGAGATACAAATTGTCGGATCCAGCGCAAACCGCGCCTTCACGACTCAAAGCAGGCTATATCGCGAGTCAGAAGACTGACCCAGCGGCAACATTTCGTAGTCCGTGTCCCTAGCCAAGCCGGCCGGCCCTCACGACCGTGACTCGTAAATGGTTCGCGAGTTGAACCAGCGACCCCAGAAGCCCAAACCCGCGGCCCGCCCTACAGGCAAGAGCGGGCGCGAGTCTGCGATCACCCACGCAAGCGTAGTAACTCGGACTGAAAAACTGTTGTTATTTCACAGCAGGAGTTGCGCTTTGACTACGAGAATGGGGGAGACGACAGCAGCTCGTCTAGAAGATGAAACGTTGCTACACCATCATCAGAAATCCAGGCCCGTGGTGGAGGGCGTCGCGCCCGTCATCTCCTGCACGACGAGTTGAAACACGCTGTGGCCCTTGGCGGGCGATGGCAGCTGAACCAGAAGACATGTGGCACAGAAGCAGTTAGGAGCACACGGGCGGTTGCTGATCAGATTGCTTTTTCTTTGCTTGACTGGAGACGGCTAAACGGCCAAGTGAACCTGACATTCGCAATCCGAGTATGGAATCCCAACTCAGATGTCTCGACTCATACAATATTACGCAGGCTTCTTTTGCCATCGTTCTTCTTGCGTTCGGCCTGTGAGGGTCTCGATCCCGGAGCATGAAATAGATCGCCTAGATAGGCATGCCGAATAGTTCCGGTGCTCACAACCACCCAGAGGAAGACTACGACCAGAGAGAAGATGGTCCCCAGAACCTTGAAAAATGCGGACGGGATCTCCTGTGCGAAAGTTGTAGTTGCTGTTGAGTAGACACCTAGGGGAAAGGTGAATCCCCACCAACCAAGGTTGAAAGGAAATCTGTTGCGGGTGATGGAGGCGACTGCAAAAAACAGCCATACGAGGCCAAATCCCCACAATATGAAAGCTGCGAAAAAGCCGAGGGAGTAAAAGACCTGACCAGCAACCGCAGCCTTGGGCAAGAATTCAACATCGTTCGTAAGCCTCATTGTCTCTTTGCCTAACCTCATGATGCCGAATGCGCCCTGGCCCAGTGGGCCGAGGGGTAGGAAGACGGAGACGATTACCTCCCGCGGCGGTAGCTTGCACATCGTGAGGCGCTCAAAATAAATTACTATCGTAAACAGGGCAAGTGGCACACCGCAGCCCCAAAGAATATAGCTTGTGATGATAGTGATAATAGCATGGTGACTGGGCAGCACAGACGCTACAATGCTGCCCGTAGCTGCTGCAACTATCGTTGGAACGATAGGCAGTAGCCATGCCGCGGTCATGGTTTCTAGATGGGCCTATCTGAGGTCAGTCTGTGGAACCGGCTTGTGTGGGTGTACTTTTCATGCGCCTACCTCATGTTTGTACATGATGATAAAGGGGAGATAGAAGCATGTCCCGACAGCCCCCACAACATCAATCCACCAAAGAGCCCAGGCTAGAGTTGCGTAATTGGAACCCCAAGCCGGAACGCAGACAAAGACGATCATGTTGATGATAGTCGCCAAGCCCATCGGGCAAGTACCCAAAAAGAGCGACTGAACCGGATGCCGTATCATGCAACCCCATACACCGGGGAACACCGTGTATCGAAGTACGGAGATAATGAAAAAGAGGACGAAGAGAACAACATTGAGGCAGAAGATAACAACGGAGATCCAATATAACCACTCCGCGTTGTAGGGTAGGTTATGAAGTAGGATGGACACAACCCCGGTGCCCATGTTGACGCTGAACCATGATGGTTCAAAATACAGAATCACACGCCTCCAGGGTCTTTGGTTGCCTTCCAGACGCGCGTATTCCGCCACGGCATCCTTGCGAGCACTCCGGGTGGTCGTGGTTGCATCGGCTCCTTCGTCGTGGCTTGTTGATGGACGACTCTGATGAAGCCGGTCGGCAGCGGGAGCAGATGGATCCATGGCGGACCAGAGGATGCGACCTTGCAAAGGAATCACTCAAGAACAATGAGAATGGCTGTGGAGGGTCGTCGAAGGTACCATCCGTCACCATGCCCGACGCTTGAGGTTCATCGGTTGTCGTCTGTAGTCGTGCTGCCGCTCACTAGGTCGGGTTTGCGTTCAAGCTAAACCGGACGCGTCAGACTGATTGACGTCAGGAACCAGACCCATTACTTTGCCCGGGAAGGCATTTCAATGGAATAGTATTGTTGTATGGATGGAACAGAACTACAGTCCTCGGCGAATTGTCATGCCATTCCCGGCTACGAAGCTGTAGTCACATTAGAGCCGAAAGCGGCCCTGCCCACGATGCGTGAGGGTGAGTTGCAATTGGCATGGAACTCTGGGGTTATGAGTAGCCTAAGAGTCACGTGCTCCACATCTTGTGGCAGTCAATTGAAGAA